CATCAGTGTTTGTATTTCTTCATTAGTGGTATGTTTCGAACTGGCTCGCATCTGATTCGCATGTCTTCTCCACAGTTGACCTTCTTTCCGTCAGAACGTCGTACAGAACTCGTCCACAACGACTCTTCACGTGTGCAAGGATCCATTGCTTGTGTCCAGGACGATAGTCTCGAATCCAAACTGGTTCTCCGATCTTGTACGATCTTTTACGTGCTCCGTGGTGACGGTTGAATTGCTTTTCCATTTTTGCATTTCTTGGTCCTTTTCACCTTCGGTTGTTTCCTTCAGTAACGTCAAGGTAGTCCTTATCTGACGTCCGAGAAACAATTCTGCTGGTGAAAGCTGTCCAGGAGTTGACGTGCACGGCGTTCTTCGATAACACTTCAGAAATTCTGAAAGGGGTTCCGACCTCTCTCCCTCCTTCAGTTTCAGCAGGGATCTCTTCAGTGTATCGACGAAACGCTCCGCTTGTCCATTTGACTGTGGATGAAAAGGCGGTGAACGAATTTGTCCGTTCTTCTTCTTGACTGCAACGATGGGTGCGGCCCATTCCGAATGATCGACTGGTGAGATCACTCCATTGGAAACTAGCCGGTCAATTTCTGCATCCAATTCAGGAATAGAGGCATAAGGGACTGGTCGCTTCTTCTTGAAAACAGGTACTGCATCTTTTTCAAGAATAACTTCGCTTTCCTTTTCTTGCATCGACCCAGCTCGCATTTGAAAATTTCTGCGTACTGCTTCTTCAGGTCGGCAACTAAGGAACTTCTGATAGTATCCGCTTCGCTCACCATTCGGCAGTGGTACTTCTCTTGTAACTCCTTGTATGCGGGGAGTTGGACACACCATTCCAGACCGAGTAGATTTGTGCTCTCTGTGACGTAGCAATAACCATTTCCTCGGAACTGATTTCCAGTAGTGCGGTCTTTCACGGAGAAGCCTGTGGAAAATCTTCCATCAATTTTCATTGGTGATCCATCTGCCGTCTTGACTGGTATTGTGCAGGATTCCAGGAATGGGGATCCAAGCTTTTTCCATGTTCGGCGAGATATCAGGGTAATATCCGCCCCAGTGTCAAGCTGGAAGCGTAGCGAATGCCCTCGGACATCAACATTGATGTATGTCCTTGCATTCTCTGCGGCGAAGAGTTGCAATGTTTTTGCATTGGTTCCTCTTACGACGATAATGCTGCCTTCTTGGTTTCTTTGGGATCTGGTCGGACATCTTTGGTTGGTTGGCGAGAAGTGGACAAACATTCCTGTAATGTGGGCCTCCACATTTGAAACATTTCACTTTCTTTTTCTGCACGGCATGAACATCGTGGCTTGTTCCCATATTTGCGTTATCCATCTTCAGAGCTGTGAAATTTTCGCATTCTGCAACGAGATCTTCAATCGTCAATGGCGCGTCTTCTGCTTGCGTATCGAGTCGACGAAGCATTCTGAGACGTACTTCTCGTAAGGAAGGATCCTGAAGTCCTGCCACAAACTGCAGTGTCTTCAGTGCTGTGTAATCCATTTCCTTCAGTGAAGCTTCTTCATCCATCCTTTTGATCGTGTTCGCATAATCTCGGAATGGTACGTAATCCGAAGTAAGTGCTGGGCATGTTATCCTCAAACACTCGTATCGGCGGCGTATCAACGTTTTCTTGGATGCAAATAACTTTTGAAGGTTCCTCACTGTTGTTGCGAAATCGATCTCGTGCGGTTGTAAAGGTAGAACATCATCTGCATACTTACGGTAGCGTTGTCCTTCGAAGCTTTCAGCAAGATAAAATCTCTCTTCTTATCTTCTGGAATACTCGATGCTTCAATAATATGTCCATACCTTCTGTACCAGTAGTCGAAATGTATATCCAGATTCCTCATCATATACGAACTTTTCTACGTCCTTGTTCAATTGGTCATATAGCAGCTTCTGGTTATCCACCATGCCATCCTTGGTAGGCGCTAACGAGGCGAACAGCATTTTCATTTCTTCATGCTGAAATTGCAACTGTTGAAGCATAGTTTGAAGTACTACCTCGAGCTGTGCAGGATGAGCAGAAGCTGTTCCATCTCCGGATGACTTCGGCATATTGCATACGAGTTGCTTTGAAGTCTTGAGCGGCTGTTGTCTTGAGTCCTGTAGATCCTTGGTGCTGGTCCTGATCGCCACTTGTTGTATCCTCACAGGCAGCCAATCCAGTCGTTTATTGAACCAAGACGAATGAATGAACCATACTCAGGGAATGACCCTTTTATACACAATGATAAACATATTATTGTATAGACTACTATCATTCCCCAACAGTGATGTTTATAATGCGGCAAGACCCTGCACTGCACAAGATCCCAGTTTGTGGCAGAGTCTAGGAATCCCCTCCACGTGAAATTGACCTCACAAGTGTGAAGAGCATACGCTGATGAAAGGCCCCGACATCTACTGCTGCACAAAGCAGGTGATGACAAAA